GTTTAATCCTTGGCCTTTTAGCAGCCCTCACACTGTTGGGAAGTCTTTCAAAGTGCCCACCTTTCTTTTTACCCAGAGCAGCCAGTTGTGGGAACCTGTTCTCCAGAAGCAGCTAGAATCTTTGTCTCTGTGTTTTTCACCCCTGTAATGTCCAGAGCACTGTGCAGTGTGGGTTTGTGCTGCCAGAGTAGATCTCCAGGGCTGGGTATTTAGCAGTCCTGGGCTTCTACTCCCTCCCTGCTTTGTTTCTCTTCCTTCTGCTGGTGGGCTGTGGTGGGGCAGTGCTCGGGTCCCACCGGGTTGCAGCTTTGTTATTTTACCCATTTCTGTGAGATGTTCTCTTCCCAGATATATGCTGGTTGGTGTAATCTTATTTCTGGTCCCTCTTTAGGATTAGTTGTATTTATTGTATTTTCATATTATATGTGATTTTGGGAGGAAATTTTTGCCTCACTTCTTATGCTGCCATCTTTTTTCCCACCACATTACATAAGCTTTTTAACATCGTCCTTAAAGTAGCTAACATGAATTATACCTGAACATCCTGGGTCATGGTACATCTCTTTTCCTATTAATTGATGGGCATTTAAAAATGTATGAGATGGGCAGATTAAAAGTATGTTTAGAAACTAGTTTTGTATCTTTTATCTTAGGTATTGTCCAGGAGTCCAAAAGATGCACTATTAGTTAATACAATTTAATATTAGTGTAAAGTCATAAGTTAATTAGGGGTTTTGAAAACACAATTTAAGCTGATAACATTGAGTTCTTGTAATTTATGGGTCTTTAAGAATTAATTCCTTTAAAAAAAACACATTACCTGTTATTATTATTTCATATAATTGGGTACATCATATTGCATTTTATAATGTTCAAAGAAATGATGTTATTCTAACCATTAAAACTAGGAGAGGAATTTTAGGAATTAAAATTTATTAGTTTTTTTGGGGACAAAAAAAATCCAAACATTTTCAGTATTAGAATATTATATGAGAACACACGCATGCACATATACACATGCACTGGTGTAGTCAGGGAGGAGACTAATAACAATTTTTAAGCCAGAATTAATAAATTAATTTGTCTAAAGAGCCCCTCTGATAAGACAGTACATGAATTACTTTTGTATACAAATATGCAACAGGTACTGAAATTTTTAACTGGTTTAAAGGTAGTATTTTTTGCTTATCATCTAATAACTATGGCCATTAATTAAACTATAAGCAAGTCTTTTTTTCCTATTAAAATCTTTATGAAAAAAATCTTTAAATGTGTTAACCTTAAAAATAAAACTGTTTGTTTTACAGCAAAAATGGGTTTATTTGAGAATAGCAAAAACTTGCAATTGAGGACATGAAAAACATGGCAACACCATAGGCAAGTCCAACGAAAGAAGGGAACTGTTATTCTATGGAGAGATGGAGGAAGGTGGGAGAAGTTGTTTTGAATGAAAGTCCATTGGAAAAAAAGCAGAAGTTTCAGGTGGCGACAGTTTCTCATTGGCTAAGTTGCTAGAGTAGTTAAATTTTATTTTTTGGAGTAAATTTTTTGTACAAGATGCAGTGTACATCTTTCCCTTTTGGGGCTTGTGATTGACTATTCCTTCCTGTTGAAGATTTTTCTGTTGTGGTCTATAATTGACAATTCTTCCTGTAATTAATGTGGAATGGTATAGTTACACGTTCTGTCCTCCCATCTCCACTTTAGTGAGATTTCCCTTTTATTAGTTTTCATAAGAGTAAGTGCCCTAGAAACATAAGCAGTTTCCCTTGAGTTTCTCTTATTTTAAATTTTTATAGGCACATAACTTTTCTATTCTTTCTATAAGCCATGTGAAACAAAAGCTCACTATACATTAGATTTTTTATAACCGCTTTAGTGAGGATAATTCACATACCATACAGTTCACCCATGAAATGTGTACAGTTCAGTGGTTTTTAGTATACTCACAGATAGGTGCATATCATCAACACAGTCATTTTTAGACCATTTTCATTACCTCACAAAGAATCACCCTGTTTCCCTCTGCACAGCTCTAAGCAACCACTAGTTTTTATGTCTTTCTTCACTTTTATGTTCTGGACTTTAATATGAATCAAATCATATAGTATGAATTTTTTTGAACTGGCTTCTTTCAGTTCACATAATATTTTCAAGTTTCATCCATGTTGTTGATTATTTTAGCCTTTTGTGGCCAAATAATAGTTTGTTTTATGTCTTTATACATTCACTTATTGATGGACATTGGGTCTTTCCACCTTCTGGCTATTATGAATAGTGCTGCTATGTACAAGTTGCTGTGTGGACATATGTTTTCATTTCTCTTGGATATATACCTAGGAGTGAAAATGCTGAATCATATAGTAACTCTACATATAATTGCTCGAGGAACTGCAAGACTGTTTTCCAAGCATCTGTATCATTTTAAATTCCTACCATCAGTATATGAGGTTCCCGTGTTTCCTTGCCGTCTCTTGCTATTATCTAACTTTTTTATTCTAGCCAAGTTAGAGGTATGAAGTGGTTTCCCATTGAGGTTTTCATTTGCATTTATTGGGTAACTAATGATCATCTTTTCATGTGCTTATTGATTGTTTGCATAGCTTTAGAGAAAGATCTACTCAGGTCCTTTGCCTAATTTTTAATTCGATTGTTTTTTTTTTTTTGAGTTGTAAGAGGTCTTTATACGTTCTAGATGCAAGTCCCTTGTCAAGTAAATTTTGCAAATATTTTCTCCTATTCTGTGAATTGTCTTTTCATTTTCTTGATGGTATCCTTTGAGGCAGAAAAGTTTTTCATTTTGTTAAATTCCAACTTAATTTATCTTTTGTTGCTTATATTTTTGGTGTCATATCTAAGCAAAGGTGCTTAATCCAGGTTCATGAAGATTTATCCCTTTTTTTCCTGCTAAAAGTTTTGTAGTTTTAACTCTTAACATTTAGGTCTTTCATCCATTTTCAGTTAATTGTTGTATATCTTGTGAAGTAAGGTTCCAACTTTATTCTTTTGCATGTGTCTATCCAGTTGTCTTATAACTGTTCGTTGAGAAGACTATTTTTTTTCCCCATTGAATGGTCTTGGTCCATTATTGAGTATCAGTAAACTATTTATGTATTGGTTTATTTCTGGATTCTCAATTTATTCTATTGATCTATACATCAGCTATTCTTTCAGTACCACACTTTGTTTTGGTTACCATTGCTTTATGGAAAGTTATGAAATCAGGAAGTGTAAGTCTTACTTATTCTTCATTTTCAGGACTGTTTTGACTATTTTGGGTCCCTTCGCTTTCATATAAATTTTAGACAGCATGTTGATTTCCACAAAGATGAGTTGGGCTTCTGATAGGGATTGTGTTTGAATCTGCCTAGTGGTATTTTGAGGTATATTGACATCTTAACACTAAGTCTGTTGATCCATGAACATGAGATGTTTTCCCATTTATTTAGATCTTCAACTTCTTTCAACAGTGTTTTCAGAGTATAAGTTTTATACAACTTTTGTTAAAACTATTACTGAGCATTTTATTCCTTTTGATGCTGTTTGAATGGAATTGTTTTAAAATTTTATTATTGGATTGTTAATTGCAAGTGTATTGAAATACAATTGATTTTATATATTGATCTAGTATTCTGTAACCTTGCTGAACTCATTTATTAGTTCTGATAGCTTAGTAGTTTTCATAGGATTTTATAAGTACAAGATCATGTCATTTGTGAATAAATAGTTTTATCTCTTCTTTTCCAGTCTGGATACTTTTTATTTATTTATTTATTTTTGCCTTAATTGCCTTGGCTAATATCTTTAGTATATTGTACGATAGAAATGGCAATAGTAGACTTGATTGTCTTGTTCCTGATCTTAGGGAAAAAGCAACCAGTCTTTCACAATTCAGTATGTTAAATTAATTAGTTTTCAGATGTTAAGCCAGATTGCATCTCTGGCACAAATTCGATTTGGTCATGATGTATAATTCTATTTGTATGTTGCTGGTATTGTTTTGCTAGCATTTTGTTGAGGTTTTCTGTGATTTCTCTGCTTAGCTTTGATATCAGGATAATACTGGCTTTATTAGGAAGTATTCATTTTTTCTTAAAAGAGTTTGTGAAGAATTTGTATTCTTTGAATACTTGGTAGAATCCAGTGGTGAAACCTTTGGGCCTGGGGTCTGCAAAATTTTTTTTTTTTTTTTAAGTAGGATTCATTCTCTTGTTATAGGTCTTTGAGATTATTTATTTCTTCTTGAATCAGTTTTGGTACTTTGTGTGTTTCTAGGAATTTTTCCACTTCACCTAGGTTGTTTAATTTGTTGGCATATAATTGTTCATAGTATTCTCTTATAATCCCTTTTATTTCTTTTGACTATGATGGTAGGACCTGGAGGGACAGAAGAACCTCCAGAAGTAAATTATCAAAGAGTACTCAGAAGTTTGCATGCTCTTTAGGTCTGTTGCATGTAGATGTTTTCTCATGTGATAAGAGTACGCTGGTAGACTGAGTTAAGAAATAAGTTAAACCATAAAATTTGTAAGAGAGAGAAAATTACGTAGTCTAGGCATTGTGTGTCGTGTTTACATATGTTGAGGGTAAACTGATTAGCTGGTAGCTACCAAACAGATGAGCCTGGGTCCATATGAGCAACCAATTGCTCCTGAGTATGTTAACTAAGGGTTTCAAAGAAAACAATTTCAGTTGTTTGTGGATTTTCAAAAAAGACTGTGATAGATTAAATTTAACATAAATCGTAAACTGTCTGTAGGTAATATCTCCCAATGTCCCCTTGGTCATCACTTCCATCTTAGGCTAGGTCCTAATTAGAACACTAGATAGGTCCTAGAATCAGATTTGTTTCCTGGGCTAGCTTTAAGACCTAAGACCTGAATAGAGTTATCTGATATTTGTTATAGCCAATATTATATTGTTTGCCCACCTGTATATTGTTTCTAGAAGAAATATTTTTATGAAAAAATGTAAACAGTATACACTTTTCATTTTCATAGAGTTACGGGAAGTCCAAAGGATCAAGATAGTATTTTGAACTCTCAGATCCCTGGATATACATGCAAGACACCAGCAGATTCTAACTTGGATTCTGGAGAGCCTGAGACTTCAGTTTTGGAAGAAAGGTATGGGCATGTTCTAAGAATACTAGAATTTCCTCACTATATTAGTTATTCATTGCTGTGTAAAAAATTACCTGCAAGCTTAATAATGGCCTTCACACACTACTGCACTTACTGTTTCATAGTTTCTGTGGGTCAGAAATCTGGGAGAGGTTTGGCTGGCTCTTTTTGGCTCAGGAATTCTCATGAGGTATAGCATTCAAGATATCTGGGTTGTAGTCCTTTGAAGGCTTGACTGGAACTGGAGGATCTCTAAGGTGGCTTGCTCACAGTGCTGTTAGCTGGAGGCCTCAGTTCCTTGTCATGTGGCCCTCTCCATAGAATTGTTCAGTAAGGCAGTTGGCTTCCCACAAAACAAGTGATCCACGAGAAAGTGTGACAACAGTGGAGGTCATAGTGTCTTTTAATGACCTAGTCTCTGAAGTTGCACACTGTCACTTCCACTTTATTCTGTTAGAAAAAAGTTATTAAGTCTAGACCACATTCAAGGGGAGGGGAATTATTCTCTTCCTTTTAAAAAGAGTAGTATCTAAGAATTTGTGGATGTATGTTTATAAAGCAAGCATGCTCAGTAAGCAAACCAAATTTACCCACTCTTATAATATCTAAAGTCATATACCCATTTTTAAAATGAAGAAATGATAAATTATAGTCTATTATCAGACTTTAAGGGATCGCTAAGATTTTTTGTACTATTTGGTGGGTTATGAACACTAGGCCTATCCTGGTTTCATAATAGGAGGAAAGGGATCTAGGACTGGGATAAGTTGAATAATCTTTGAACAATTTCTGGATTGTATTTTAAATTCAGTGTGGCTTTGGTGGTATTTTTTCTAATTAAGTTGATTTAATTCTAGTTTTATTTCTTAATATTTTATTTTTATCAATGTCGAATTGACTTAAAAATCAAAATTCTGTTCCATGAGTTAGTTTTAAAGGTTAGTATTTATCATGTTTAATAGTCAGCTCTGGGTTAAATTGTAGTATGTTTTATGCAGCAAGTAAATATATTCTTGATGACCTATAATATCACCATTGGTTTTATAAGAAAGAAACCAATGGCAGTGTTTGGAGAAAAATGATCTGTTAAATGTTAAAGTAGGTAAGTTAGTTTATATGTATTATGAAAGCACAGACTATTTTTTTTCTTTTTTCTTAAAGTGGACCTTCCAGGCTCAAGAATTATTTAATGTCTGGAAAGAATAATTCTGATGTGGATGATAAGGAAGTTGAGGAAAGTTCAGGTAAGTTACTATTTTTCTTCTTTTGTTTTCTTTTGTTTTTTAAATTAAGGTATCATTGATATACACTCTTAGGAAGGTTTCACATGAGCAAATAGTGGTTTCAATATTCAGCTGTATTGTCAAGTTCCCCTCCAACCCCACTGCAGTCACTGTGTCAGCATAGTAAGATGTTATAGAATTATTACTTGTCTTCTCCATGCTGTACTGCCTTCCCCATGAAATACCTATATTGCAAGTGCCAATTATAACACCCCTTAATCCCCTTCACCCTCCCCCCCGCACAACCCTCCCCACCCCCTTCCCTTTGGTAACCACTAGTCCCATCTTGGAGTCTGAATCTGCTATTTTGTTCATTCAGTTTTGCTTTGTTTTTATACTCCACAAATGAGTGAAATCATTTGGTACTTGTCTTTCTCTACCTGCTGTAAGTCCGGGGAGAGGAAATGCTGGGGCAAAATACCTCTAAAAACAGAAATCAGTCAATAGGAGAAATAAAGTTTAAAACCCGTTTATTGCTTACAAACTGCAGTCCAGGACTGTTTTTCTCCTCTGCTCCGGAAGAAGCAAAACAAGCAAGCAAGCCAGCTCCTCCCTTTAAACTCTCAGGTTCAGACACACCCTCGGTTGCACATTAGATATCGAGATGAACTTCTCTCCACCCCTGAGGATATGCAAATGCACTAAAGCCAGGTGAGATATTCTGGAAATGTTACAATTTTACCCACAGACCACCCTTCCAGAAATCTCGCCTTACAATCTACTCATTCCCCTTCTTCCGCAATGGTCCCTGGGCAAGAAAACTGGAGCATTGTGCATTGTGACCAGACTAATGACATAACAATAGCAACAGCATAAAATCATGACAATTCTCAAGCTGGAGGATTCAGCTAAGTTCAAAGTCCTATGCATATATTAAGTCCATAGCTCGTCTATTCCATAGGCAGGCAGTAGCTGACAGTTCAGAGCAATCATGCAGCAGCTGCAGCCAGGGGGACCATTCAGGCCACAAGGACTGTAGGTGAAAATAACCTTAAAGGTGGTAAGATACATATTTTAATGACACCAGCATAGGCAAATCTTGTCCATCAGGTAGGATATATGCAAGAGAGTGGTCTTGTGATTAAACAGTGGCAGGAATGGGATCTTGTCTTGGTCTAGTATACCAGACTTTCACCCCCCTCCCTGAGGGAGTTACAGATGGGTCAATATATAGGGCTACAGGAGGTACATACACTGGCTGTAAAGATAAAACTTCACTGCAAAATGCTCTTACATCCTGGACGTTTGGGTACACTGCTGTGACCCTTGGGGGCCATTCAGCAGTTACTCTAGGAATACACACAAAGCCAGCTTCCAGGCCTTTTCCCCAAGGTGCCAGAAGGGCCAGTCATCACTGGTCTATGTGTCGAAATGTCCAGGGCCAGGTCCATTCAACTGTCTGTAGGGCTTAAGGCAGTAGGGGCTGACAACAGGATGTTGTTCTGCTGGCCATATCCTGGCTTCAATAACTCTTCTTTGTTTTGGATGTATGATTGTATAGGAGAGACAGCAAGGTGTGTGAGCAATCCACAGGTCTCAAAGCTCCTTTATGTGGCTTCTCATTCAGATGCCACAGCACTGTCCATAGGCGAACTGACCAACCTCCTAGAGTATTGGTGTCTGACTTCAGGCCAGATTTCAACAAACCGTTGTATCTCTCTATCTTGCATGCCCCAGTAGGATTATATGGTACATGAAATTTCCACTTTATTTCAAATTGCTGCACCCATTGTTGTAACGCATGTCCAGTAAAGTGGGTTCCTTGATTGCTTTCAGTTACCTGCAGATAGCTATAGGGTGCAGAGATGCTCCAGGCCCCTCTTCGTGTTTTGCTGATCTGCAGGATGTGCAGGAAAAACAACCAATAGTCCAGTAGCCATGTCCACACATGTCATGGCATACCAATATCCTTCTGATATGGGCAGAGGCCCAATATAGTCTATTTGCAACCTGAAAAGGGGTATTGGCCCCCTTACTATTGTCTCATGTTGCTGTGGGACTTGATCTAAGTCCCTTTTAGAGCACACAAGGCACTCCTTCCAGGCTCTGCTGACTTCTTCAAAGTCTGCTTCATAATTCCCTGGGGATCCCAAAGGCAAATGGCCAGTCACATGATATAGAGTAACAGTCTTAGTCTGATGAGAGGCCCATAGGTCTTGCCCAAACTCTTGCCCCTAGAGGGGCTGGTAACCAACCATGCAGTTGACATGATACCATGTTGGTAGCCACAGGGTCAAGCCCCAATAGAGGGCCCAGCTGTTAGTCCAGACAACTATGGGGAAAGGCTCCTGGGTGATCTCGAGCCATACTGCCGGCAACTCAGCCCCATTGACTGCTTTTCCCATCTCCATCCTCCATCCATACTGTTTCAGTCTTAGAATAGAAAGCCACAGCCCTCCACTTCGAGAGCTCTCCACAACTGAAGCCTCCTGTGTTCCAAGCATCTTCAGGTATAGGGGCTTTTCCCTCTTGATAAGGAGTCTTGGCTACCAATGGCTCAAAAGCAAGTTCTTCCTGCTTTCCATTGGTATAGATCACGGCCGAAATAAGCATTGGAGTTCTCCACTTAAGGGGCTAGTAGAGAGGGTGCTATGCTGCTGTAGATATGCACCCCATTTGGCCAGTGTAGGTGTCTGTGCCATGCTACTACTCCATGGCCTTTGGGTACAGTTTTGCACCCACCCCACGATGGGATAGGTGGTTATTACCTTGACTGGAGCTGTTCCAGCAATGGACTTCATAGCCAGCAAGGCATGGTTCACAGCAGCCAGTTGCTTCTCTGTCAAGGTGTACTGCATCTCTGCTCCTTTCCATTTGTGATCAGAATCCAATAGGTTGGCATGTCCGTTCAAGCTGCTGCCAAAGACCCCATCCATAACTATCTTTGGTTACGTAAGCATCTAGTTCACAGGGCCTTGATTAGTTCACTACATTCAAGGCTTGTACATCCTTGACTGCCCGCTTGGCAGTAGTAAAAGCAGCTGCACATGTCTCATCCCAGTCCCACCTGATGCCCTTTTGTACGAACCTGTATAAGGGCTTCAGAATTTGTGCCAAGTGTGGGATAAACACTCTCCAGTAGCCCAAAAGACCCAAAAACTCTTGTAATACTGCCATAGTGGTAGGGGTAGGGAAAGCCTGGACCTTGTCTATAACTGGTTCAGGAACAACTTTAGTTTTACCTGTCCAGACAACTCCCAAGAATTTCACAAACAAGGTCCCTGAACCTTGGTGCTGTTCACAGCCCATCTTTTTTCCTGTAGATGTTGCAGTAGTTTAGGAACTGACCCTTTTAAATCTTAAAGAGAATCATATGTGAGCATAATATCATCATTGTAGTGATACAAGTGCACTGTTGGCAGTTTCCTCCATGTGGCCAAGTTCTGGGCTACAAGTCCATGACAGATGGTGGGACTGTAGAAGGACAGTGAATGTCCACTGCTGGCCTTCCCATGTGAAGGCAAACTGTTTCTGGCTTTCTTGTGCTATGTCAGTAGGTAAGAAAGCATTAGCAAGGTCTACTACATAATGATACATTCCCAGTTCATGGCTGAGGGTGTCCAGAATGTCTGCTATAGAGGGGACAGCAGCATGCAAAGGGGGTGTGACTTTATTCAGTTCCCTGTAGTCTACAGTCATACACCAGGAGCCGTCTGGCAACTGGCCACACTGGGGAATTAAAAGGTCTATGAGTGAGCTTTATGATGCCCACCTTCTCCAACTCTCTGTAGAGATTCTCCAATTTCCTTGTGCCCCTCAGGCAATTTATACTGCTTAATATTTGTTGCCCGCTGAGGTACAGGCTAAGCTACAGGTGGGTGCTTAGCATGTCCCCACAGAACTGCTTTACCACACATACCCTTAGTCTGAACTCACCTGCGGTGGTCTGTTACCACAGGCCCTGTAGGATATCTACCCCCAAAATATATTCAGGGATTGGAGGAATGTACACGGTATACTCCTTTTGGGGGTCAACACCCTATCCCTAACGAGATTTGGGCTTTCTCATTCTAATTGCCTTACCCCCATAGCCATCTGTCACAGCAGGGGTCCTGGGAATATGTTTAGGCTTGCCGTGAATCAAAGAACACTCAGCTCCTGTGTCCACCAGCGCCAGGACACGTACATTCACAGCTGACCAGTGAACTGCTAATTCTACATGTGGCCTCTGCTCTGCATCATTTGTCCCCCAAGGTGGGGACTTTGACCCCCCCCTCAATTAAACTGCAGTGCCCAATCATCCTCCTATGGGGGTGATGGCTCAGGTGAATCCTGAGTACTGTCCCCCATGAAGTTTTGCAGGGACACAGGCTGGGCATGAGGCCTTGATTCTTGTTTCTGTGCCCTGGACCTCAGCAGCTGGAACTGCTACTCTGGCTTTAATTGGTGCCACAGTTCTAACAATATTCTGTTGGGCTGTCCATCAAGTTTTTCTTTCAGTACCCCAGTCTTTATCAAATCAACCCGTATCTCGGTCCTTGAGACCTTCATGGAGCCTTTTGCACTTCTCCTTTCAGTCATGGCCTGTACTTCCCTCCGTGCCCTTATTGTTTCAACCTCCACCAGATCTGCTAAAGTACGAGTAGCCTCCCTTATAGGTTGCCCTAGGTGAGGGGCAAAAGTATTCACTAGGGACCCGAAGAGAGATGTGGGAGCTGTATGCAGCACCAGGTTTCTCATTCCCATCAGGGCTCTGGGGATCCATATCATAGATGTTTTTCATACCCAATTCCTGTAGTACCTGTGGAGTTCTGCATACATTTTCCAACTGCAGGGAAAATACGGTAAATCACCCTGATTAGGCCAAACTATACTGATGGCAGCTGTCAGCCATTCCAAGAGTGTCTGATTACCTGAGGTGTGACGGGCATTTTGTAACCGCTGCCAGAGGGTAGGGTGAATCGTCAGGGAAGCCATTCATTCAACTTATCTCAGTATCTGACACAACAATGTTTTCCACC